ACAAAAGGGTGTCTGCTCCTCGTTCCCCAATCAGGCTTTGCCTCGAGGGTTCCCACGTGCTTGTGAAAGAAGCCCGTGGGTGCGGGACCCTTTCCCGCCGACGTTGCCCGGCATTACTCGGGGTTGTCCGGAATGTCTCCAGGCTCCTCGAGGTTCCTCGGCCAAGCAACGTCCAGCAGCGCCAAGCAATGCCAAGAAATGCCAAGCAGCAATTCCAAGCAATGCCGAGAAATGCCAAGCAAGGCCGAGTAATGCAAAGGCAATGCCAAGCAATGTTAAGCAATGCAAAGCAATTCCAAGCAATGCCAACCAAAACCAAGCAACGCAAAGCAGCATCAAGCAATAACCAGCAACGCCAAACAATGCCAAGCATTGCCAAGCAACGCCAAGCGATGCTACGCAATGCCAAGCAGCGATGCCAAGTACTGCCATGTAACCATTCCAAGCAATGCCAAGAGAGTATTCCAAACTATGCCGAACAACGCAAACCAATTCCAAGAACTAGTACGCAACGACAAGCAATACCAAGCAATATTCCCCAATAAGGCTTGCTCACGGGGATTCTTACGTGGTTAAAGGTTGGTGCCTCCAATTGATACTGTGCCCGTTACTCGGAGGTTCCTCGGGTTCCCCGGGTTCCCCGCCCATGGTGCCTTCTGTTCTTACGTTGCCCGTTTCCCAGAGTTTCCCCGGGTTCCCTGGGTTCCTCGGGTTCCCCGCCCCCAAGGCATCCTATGGTTACGTTGCCCGTTCCTCGGGTTCCTCAGGTTCCCTCTGCAAGACGATGCCAATACATGCAAAGACATGCCACACAATGCCCTGCTGTGCCAGTTAATGCCAAGCAATGCCAAGCAAAGCCAAGCAAAGCCAAGCAAAGCCAAACAAAGACGAACAAAGTCGAAAAATCGTAAGCAACGCCAAGCAATGAAAAGCAGGCATAACAAAGAACTGCCAAGCAATGCCAAACAATGCGCCCAAGCAACAGGAACATTTTCCCGACTTGGGGTCGCAAGAAACCCAACCCTGAAGACCCGCGCGAAGGGTGCGACTCGGGGAATCCCAGGGCACGCGGGAGGTCGCCGCGCAGCGCGAGGAGCGAGAAAACCAAGGGTACCCTGATGAATGGCATATGGTTTCTTGATGCGCGCCCACACTGTAGCGTAGGTATACGCAGCTATCGCCAGAGGCTTAGCACGACGACAAGCACGAAATGTGGATGCGATGCCTCCCCCAGCCAGCAACCATTTCATACTCCCCGACCGGCCTTCGAACCAGACCGGCGCCCCGTGGCATTCCAACGAGGCGGCGCGGAGCGACCGTGGAAGAATGAGAGAGAAGGGGCGAGCCTTCGAAGCTCCTCCTCCTGCTCCTTCCTCGCTCCTCCCTCGTTCCTCGTCCCTCGTCCCTCCTCGCCTCCTCCTCCTCCTCCTCCTCCTCCTCCGGGCGGAAGGTGGAGGCGGATGGCTGCCTGATCAGTCAAGCTGCAAGCCAGACTAGAGATAAGTGCAAAGCGATTTCTGGACCATCGTGCATGATGTAGTCCAGAGATGGCCGCCGCAGCGCAGCAAAATGCGTGACCTGTGAGATCGAGGTCTAGCGGTTGCCGCAGGCCCGGTGGCAGAACCCGCTCCAGTACTGTTTGTAATGGTCGTTTTGGTTGCACTGCATCCCTTGCCCTGGGCACAGCACACCCGAGCCAGCACTGCGTGGTGACGCCGTCGTTCGAGTTGATAAAGGTCCAGCCAACGCAGCTGTACTCGGCCGAACACGCTTCCTGGCATTTGGTCGCGTCCGAGGCCGACCTTTTCCCGATGTTGTGGCCCTGATTGTTGCAGCCCTGTCTGCTGCAGCCGCCCCGATCGCCCTTCACCTGCAGAAGCGAAGCATCCTCCTACCAATGCTGCAGGTGTCCTCGCCAGACGCGGATACCAGATGCACACAGAAATTGAGCAGGGAAGCGAACGTCAGTCTCCAAAGAATGCGTGTCCGCTCACGGAGGTTGGCGTGATCTCGCTCTGCGATGTGGCGCTAGGACAGACTGGCCCAAAATAGCCTTGAGCCAACATGATGTGCATTGCACTGTGTTGCACTGCCTGGAACTGAATTCAATTGCCTTGGAAGAACGAAGGCCCCTCATTGGGGTGTCCCCTGTGGCAGAGAGAGAGAGAGAGAGAAAGAGGGAGCGACTTCGGCGTACGCCTCACTGACGGCAGATCCCCCCATGGTACACATCGGGACACAACAACTCGCGCAGATGCGGGTCACAATCACGTCGAGGAAGCCCCTGGATACGTCCCTACTCTGATCTGTAAAAGCAGCAAGCGGTCAAAGGTCGATCTGCATTGGCAACCACCCAAAACACCTGCACACAGCGATATCGAACTGACATTTCCAGCGTATACATGTGGAGGTATCGTTGCACCTGCTCCTCGGTCAACGTCCGAGCCCGAGGACGCCCATTAGAAGCTCAGAACGATCAGGCCCAAAAGGAGTGAAGCACTTCTAGCAGGTAGGATATGATGGTGATGGCGATAACCCTCTACCTGCAGACTCAAGCAACAACTGGATCCCATCAGTGTGATATGTTTATGTTGATGGGGCAGTGCAACATAGTTCTGTAGCGTAGTCCAGGTGCGACCAGAAGAATTACGAAGAACAACGGAAACTTAACTTCGCATTCGGAACTATCTAAAAACTCCGTTAGTCAATGCCAGCGGTACGGGAAACAAGCAAATGCCTAATGTGTAGTCTGCTGCACTGTGGCGAAGCAGGCAGCTAAACACCATCGATGCGCCAGGCTGGCAGTATAAAAGATCCAAGTCCACGACGTGTGCTCCCCTGACGTCGTGCGGACCACATGCATGCGGCTCTGGCTTAAGACTTCATGTGCTTGTTCCACGGTGATGGTTGCTATGATGCTAGTGGCCATGACTGTGTCACGATGCTTGGTGTTGTCAGGAAGGTGACCATGATCGCAAGAGACTGTGCGCCGAACGAACATTTACGCGCCAACCAAGGCACCCGTGCCATAGCACGGAGCTCGTCTGCGCTGCGCTGAGACTCAACAGCCCGCACGAGCCGCAATGTGCCAAGCATGGCTGTCGACGATGCGCTGGCTGACTCTCCCTTCGCTCGGACCCTGCTCTCCTCGGCTGCAGCCGAAGGCACCCTGCGGGTCGTGCGTGGCCGCAGCACGCGCCCCGCCAAGCGCCCGCCTCGGCCTGTGCGCGCGCCTCCTGGTGCACTGCAAGGCTGGCCGCTGGCGCGCTCCTGGTGGCTCTGGTGGCGCCTCTGCAGGGATCTCAGGGCGGGCCCCCCTCCCAGGCCCCTTGCCGGTTCGTGGCCCTCGGCGCGCCGCGGAGAGGATCTGCCCCCGTCAGGCCCACCACGCGCGAGAGGCGCGCTGCCCAGCCTCCGGAGCGCTTCCGATCCGCGGGCCTGTCCCCGCGGAGGAGGGCGGTGGAGCTGGCCCCGTGGGAGCCGAAGTCACAGCGGGAGATGATGTCGTGCAGCTCAGCCTGCCGGACGGTGAGTGACCTGTGCGGGGAAAACGGCAGCGCTATCTTGCCGAAGATCTGACCGATGGCCTCCAGGTCGCTCGCCGTGACGTTCTCGGCCTTCAGGAGGTCTTTGGCGTCCGAGGTGAGGCCTCTGCCGGCTGCGAGCTGCTTGATGTCGTCCGCCGTGGGAAATTTGAAGTCCACGCCTGGACGCTGGATCAGCACCAGTTGGATAGGCACGCCTGACTTCATAGCAGTCACAATCTCGATCAACACCCACGGTCTCTCGAGCACTCGGTCCGTGAGCAGGAGGAGGAGGTTGTGGCTGCTCCTGACGATGCCCCGAAGCAGCCTGAGGTCGTTGAGATTGTTGGAGCCCGCCGAACCCTTGGGGTACCGCCGATTGGGGTATCTGCCCAGCCCACACACCCTCCCCAGGAGGAGGAGGAGGAGGAGGAGGAGGAGGAGGAGGAGGAGGAGGAGGGTCCAACAGCCGACTTCGCGATTCTGGAGCGGCCAAGGAGTGCACGGGAGTCCTGGGCCACGTGAGGCGCACTCATGACCGCCCAGAGAGGCACCAAACTCTGCGGCCTGGGCGGTCCCATAGGGCCTCGACAGGTCCCTGGGACTGCTGGAGACTTCTTCGAGACAGCTAAACCAGTCCCGACGACTCAAAGAAATACACGACAACCTCAAGACCGGCCAGGAAAGACCAAACGTGGCCCCAGACGACAGAATCACTGAGAACTGGAGCCGTCTCGATGATTCAGTCGGTCCGTGTTTTCCGGTGTCCAAGCTTTCTGCCCTGAGCTTCCCCAGGGGGCCTTCTGAGGGCCCCGAGAAGCGCCCAGAACAGCGGCCTGTGGCGCCAAGGAATAGCTCCAAGACTGCCTAGGATAGCCACAGGACGTCCCAAGACTGCCCCCGTGACGGGCCACAGGCGGCACACGAGGGCCCCAGCGAGCGAGCCGGGCGGCTCCACAGGCCTGGCGGCTGGGTCGAGAGACCCCCAAAGAGTGGTCGGTCGAACATTGGCCGCGACAAACTGTCCTCAGCCGCAAGCAGCAAGGACTCGGCATGGAGCAGGAGGGGGAGGGACGGAGAGGAAGGAGGGGGCGCAGGACGGAGGCAGGGAATGAGGGAAGGAAGGGGACGGGAAGGAGCGCTGAAAGGGGAGCGAAGGAACAGGACTCCATCTCCAACACGCACATACACACACACACACACTCACACCACGAACGATCGGAACAGAGGGGAGGGGCCGGCGGACGTGGCGCAACCCCGCCGAATCGAGGAAAGCCGGTGTCTCGAGGCGGAACGCCGGGTGGGACGGGTCGTCCTTGATGATCCGGGATATTCCCTCCTCCATGAGCGCGGCGTCCGAGCCCGCCTCCTCCTTGAAGTGCGAGATGAACACGAACGGCGCGTTGAACGGGCTGTGGGTGCTCTGCCTATCAGTCAGCAGTTTCGCGTACTCGAACAGGTTGGCTGGGGTGTCCATCAGGTCCGAGACACCCTGCTCAGCACTCCTCTGAGGGGAAGCGCTGCGGGGGGGGGCCTGGCTCACGGGGGGAAGCATCGACCTGGAATCGGCGATACATCGCCGATAGGCCCCTGATAGGTATATCGGCGATCACTGCACGATTGGTTGTCGATGCGCTCCCCTTCTGAACAGATCCCCCAAGGACGTTGCCCCTGATCCTCTCGTTCAGCCACAGGACATAGCAGCTCGCGTACCTGAGGGTGGCCATGTAGCTGGACTCGTGGCTGCTCACGACGGAGGCAAAGCCCTCCTGGTCGACGGCTAGCATCGTGCAGTCGCCCTCCGCAGACAGCTCGCCTCGGTTCGTCCACCAAGTCCACAGGGACGCCTCGCAGAGGCACTGGCCCCGCTGAACCTGTGTCTTCTGGCCGCTCACGGACACCTCGGAGAGGACAGTGAGAGAATTGCTGGAGCGGATGGTAGACGTCATGCTGGCGCTGTCGCGCGTGGCCTGGACCGGCGTGTACACGCCAGTTCCCGACTCGACGACGAGCATCCGCGAGCAGGAGTCGCCGCACGTGAACACCACCTCTCCTGGCTTCTGGCACACCCCCGAGAGAACATCGCAGCACAGCCGCCTCAGCAGCCGGTAGTTGCAGATGCCGCTGGTCCGAAACAGCCGCGTGCTGCTGAGAAGAGGCAGGCGCACCTCCTCGTAGAGCTGTCGCTGTAGGTCCAGCGGTAGCGACTCGACCAGCCTGTTCTCCTCCTCGTGTCCGTCCTCCAGGGAGGTGCCGTTGCCCATCCTTCCGAAGTGCAACTGCAGCTTGTGAGAGAGCTCGGGGGAGATGCGCCGCCGGCGCAGGTAGCGCCTGCAGATGTACTGCATCTGCAGGCTCTGGGCGTTCGTAATGGCCATCATGAGCTGCACCATGCTTGCCATGAAGACTGCGGCGAAGGCGTATGCAATCAACAACACCAGAGTCTGAAACTGTATCTCAAGTAGGGTCTGCGGGCGCACGAGGCTGGTGCCATGCAACTGGGTGACAACCCAGCTTAATGACATCGTATACTGCGCCAGCAACGCCGCCGAGTCCAGGAACGGCTCCTGCGAGACCCATCCGGCGCTGGAGATCGTGCCCAGGCCAAACCAAATGCTCGCGAGCAGGTGGACAGTGATACAGAGCCCGCCGGTCAACTTCACCAACCTGACGAGAATCGTGACCCCGTCGCACAGCCACAACAACACCTCGTCGATCAAGTACGTGAACCATCGAAGCCTCAGCAATCGGAGCACGCGAACGAGCCGAAGACCTCGCATTACCGACATCGCCGACAGGGCCGTCTGGTAATACAGCGCGACCCACAGCCAGTCTGCCGATATGACAAACAGGTCGAAGAGAAACCAAGACGTGAGATAGGCCTGGAATACGCGCCTCGGTCTCATCTCCACATATCCCTCCGTATGGAAGCCAGTCGCTGACGACAGGGGGATGTCCATGGTCCAGAACGCCCTGGCCACCCAATCCATTATCTCGACTGCCTTCGGGAAACGCTCGAATCTGTAAAATGTGAAGAGGGGGACTGTCACGGTGTCGTAGGCAATGAGCACCAGGCTGAAAATGCTCCAGGCAGTGACCAATGGTGACTGAGGGTGCACCAGGACAGCTGAGAAAGGTCCCGACGACAACCTGGTCGTGGCTGGCCCACCCGAAAGCTTTACACTTAGCCTGCTGCTCTGTCGCACAATATGTGAGAATAAGCTCATCGCTGGTCTACCTTTTTGTGGCTCTGGCTCGAACTCCGCAAGCTTCGCGGCTGGGACCTTGTTCCTCCAGCTGTCCAGAAGGTGAAAACGTTCACTCTGACACCACTTGATGACCTCCTGGTCCTGTGCTGGCGAGCCTGGAGAGAGCGACGCGCGCGACCAGATCGACGACTTCGGAGCCACGCCTGCGTGTGAGACCCTCAGGGTCCCCTGGGGCTCGCCGCCAGAGGCTTGCGAGGCTCTCGGGGAGGGGTAACTTGAGTCAGGGACCAACAAGGTTGGTATATCTGGTCTGGCAGCAATGGACAATCTGACGCTTGGGGCTGCGGTCAATGTACGTGATTGCGGTTGCTGGGCAATCTCTCGCTTGTACTGGTCAAGTAGGCGGGCCCTCAGATCGTCAAGCTCCTCCAAAAGGCCCTCGAAACTTGCGACCTCGCCCGATGAATCCAAAGAGGTTCTTTCTGCGTCCATCGCCACTACGATTGCTGGCGGCTGGACGCTATTTGCTTTAGGCAGCTAGGCACCTGGACACCTGCCTTGAGCCAACCTGCTACGATGAGGAAAACGAATAAGACGACGAGTAAGAGAGACGACAACAGGGGAACATGATGAGGACGGTACTAACCAAGAAACGGACGCTGATAAATACAACGTTGCATGAGGCAAGGGAGAGATGCATGAGCGGAAAGAAGCTGAACAACCGAATGCATAGTTGCGCAGCGGCTGATCAACGGTAGCGATGCCGCTTTTGGAGAAGGCTCTCAGACAGACTCGAGTAACCGCGTGCGGGCGACAATAAAACATACCCCCCTTTCCCCTTTCTATTTCTCAATCCCCGTTCAAGAAGATTTAACTGTGGAGAGGGGCGCGGAAGCCGCGCTTGATCATCCACGGGGGAAAGTGCGCACCGAACATGCGATCATCTCATGTTGACTACAAACAACATCAAAACTGTTGAGCATGGCCACGGTGGTCTCCCCATACCAGCTTCCGCAATCACGAGCGTGTGGCAGGGCAGGGCTGTGAGATTCTCACCAGTTCAGTTTGCCCAAGTCACGAACGTGCGGCAGGGCCTGGGGGTTTTCACTTTCTCAGCCGTTCCCGAGTCAGGAACGTGTGGCACGGCCATGAGGACCGATTGGATCTCCTCCTCCTCCTCCTCCCGAGTCTCCGAGACTCCAAGCTTTGGAGCCTCTTCGAGGCGCCGAAATTCGTCGCCCCAGGGGCAGCGATATAGTCGATATGACCTCTCTTGCGTGGCCAAGGACCTCTCTTGCACTGGCAAGTTGTAGCCACGATCATCGAGATCTCTCGAGTCAGTCTTGTGCCGAGAGCCCAGGATCACCATCATCATGATCATCGTCATCGCCATCATCAGCATCATCATCATCATCAGCATCGGCATCAGCATCAGCATCAGCATCAGCATCAGCATCAGCATCATCAGCCTCATCATCATCATCATCATCATCATCGTCATCATCATCATCATCATCATCATCATCATCATCATCATCATCATCATCATCATCATCATCATCATCATCATCATCATCATCATCATCATCATCATCATAACGTCTAACTAACATCACCTTCCCCGGGAAAATCGTTGAATATCCCCGCCAGATCACCGAACTTGATTATCTCGGGGGTATTATTATCGCCCGCACTGGGTTACCATTTCGTGGGCTCGAACCCCAGACTTAGAAACATGTCAGCGCTCCGCTGAGGCCTGTGGCGTGACTTCTGGAGCGCACCGCATGGTTTGTCTTGAAGGTGGTGGCCCAGGAGGGTCGTGCAACAAATGATCGCGGTGCGGGCCCTGGACAGGGAAACCCCTTCTATCGGAGGCTGGGGTGAGTGGGACCGAAGAGAAGCAAGTGGAACATGAGGTGCCCGATTTCGTCTCGATCTATGCGTGACGTACGTGCAGACGAAACGAGGCGAAGCGGCGCGAGTCCTGCCCTGGTAAGGGCTACGTCACACCGGAGTTAGTCGCTCGGGGTCTGGGCCATGGCCCCCAGCTGTCCCTAGGGTTGTCCCGATGATTGTTCCGATGGTTGTCCCGACGGTTCTCGATGGTTGTGCCGATGGTTGTCCACATGGTTGTCCCAATAGGTGGTCGTTCCGATGGTTATCCCGATCCATGCCTCTGCCCTCCGCATGCTTGTGTTTCGGCGCACCCATTGCAACGCTGCATGGCCCTGCAGGGAGCACCACCGAAGGCCCCAGCGACTGGGTCCACATGGCGGCGCCGCCCCATTTTGCGGTGCGTAGCCCCAGATTGGGGCCCCCCCGAAGGCCCAAGTACCAGGGTCCACTTTCGTGGCCCCATATAGGGAGCTCCACCGAAGGGCACCAAATTGCAGGGTCCACATGGCGGCGCCGCCCCATTTTGGCGCACCCCTCACACGGGTCATGGCCCCATAAGCAACTCCACCGAAATTGGCGCCGCAACACAGTATTCACAACTGCACATGGTTGGGTCCTTCGCCAAAATACATTTATCACACTTGAGCCGACTTCGTTTTCACAGAAAGTGTTATCACACTTGCCCCAGTAGATGGTTGTCCCGATCGATGGTTATCCCAACCTCTATGTCTGCCCCGATGAATCCGCCACCGTGCCTCTGGGCACGGAATGGGCGTGTCCTCGGGTACTTTACCTAATTCCTAGAGCCTCTCAGCCCTCAGTCCTGAGGAGGTCGCTAAGAGGCCCGGACACCAAGTCCCGACGCTCTGGAAACCTGTCACGTGCCCTCTGGGGTTCCCGGCATCTTGTCGCATGATTATGTCGGCCCCAAGAAGGCCCGAACACGCGAACACGGGCCAACAGGGGCCAACACGCGAACACGGGCCAACGTCTTAGGGGCCAACAGGGGCCCCTCAGACGGTCTGAGAGGGCCCCGAGTCGCCGAACGATCGTTCCAAAGAGGCCCAGGATGACCCCAAGATGGCCCAAGAGACCTACAAGACGCCCGAAGAAGCCTCCAGGAAACCTCCCAAGAGGGCCCCAAGAGGCAACTCTTATTGATGTTCCTACGGCTTCTGAAAGATTTTGGCGTTCTCGCGTTTTCGGCTTGGCGACGTTCCAAGACGGCCAAAGAGGCCCCTAGGACCTCCCGAACACGGCCCAAGAGGCCTCCAAGAGGGCCCCAAGACGGCCTAAGAGGCGCCCGAGACGGCCCAAGAGGGCCCAAGGACGGCCCCAAGACGGCCCCAAAAGTGGCCTGAGAGAGGGAACACGAACAGAAAATCCGAGCCTTCTTCGCCAAGAGGCCACCAGGAGGCCTCAAGAGACCATAAGGGGCCTCCGACCTGCCTCCAAGAAGTTGCCGAGAGGCCCCCCACGAGATCCGAACAAACATCCAATAGGCCCCATACCCACAATCCAGGGCCGAAGGCCATTCGATCAATTCTGATGTTTCTTGAATGATTTCTGGCGGCACCGGGTGACCTGGTGGATCGGACAGACTGGGCTGTCCAACCGGGCGGGGCGGGCAGGCTGGCTGAGCCAGGCAGACCAGACAGCCTGATTGCAAGACTAGACGGGCCTAACGTCCAAGACCAGGCCGCGCGCCCTGGACGACAGCACGGGACAGACGGTCATAGGCGCCCACGAACCAATTGGGGCGTCGTACTGCAACGATGTATCTGCATGTGTGCACTTTCGCAATCGACGTGTATTAATGCTTTGCATAGCGCTTGTGACGATAGCCGCGCCTAGAATGACGATGATGATAAGCTGCGGGCCACGACTGTAGACTATGCAACAGCAAACGAAAACCAAATGCCAAGTGGGGCCGGGCACCAGAAACCGCTACACACTACACACATGCTTGTGCAGTCTAACGGTTTCCTTCTCAACCTTGGGGGGATTTTCGATATAACTCCAAGAGGCTCCCAGAACGCAAGATCCAAGACGGCTTCTACGGTTGACTTCTGCCGTTGCCATCGCCCTTCTGCTCTTCAACTACTGGCATTCCTTTTCCGTCATCCGAATCTTCCCGTTCCTCCTTTCTCATCCTCCTCCTTCGAGAAAACAACGGAGGCATAGATGGTTTACCCATGGACTCCATGCTGCTGCACTTCACTGGTCAAGGCAACTCTCCTGGGGATAGTTCCTGGATGGGCTGGTGGGGATTAGCGAAACGTCAACTCCTTCCCGCCCTCGTCCCTTCCCAGTGATCACTAATACTGAGGTCACTCACGCTCTGCATCTACCATACCCAAACTGAGTCACACTCAGACTCACTCACACTCGCAACCACACTCCGTCGTATTCAGAATAGAACCACGCGCGCTTCGCGCGCGCTTAGGTTCTAGTCGGCTCCAAAGACGGTGTCAGTTCCATGGGGCCTTTTCCATGCGGTCTTCTCGGTTCATCCCTTTCACCCATGCCTGATTGTCGTGCGGATACTGCGAAGTTCAAGGAAGGGTTTGGCCTGTAGCGTTGAGGAGTTTCCGGAGCATCTTGCAGGCGCCATGGGGGCGTCCTCGGGCCTCGACATTCGGTGGGCGGGTCAGAGAGTGCAGCCAGGGCCACGTGTTCCGAAGGGCTGTTCCGGAGCATGGAGGACGAAGGGCTTCTGGCGGGCTGCTGAGGGTCTGTGTTGAGGCCTCCTGCGAGCTCGGGGGGGGCTTCTCGGGAGCTTCTCGGGTCTTTCTGGAGCCCCTGTGGGGGCTTTTTGGGGCGTCGTGGAGGCCTCTTGGGGCAGAGGGCGCCTCTGTTGGGCCATGTGGGGGCCTCTTCCGACGGGCAGCGCGGCAACGAGCACGGTACTCGGCACGGGACGCTGCACAGCCCACGGCACGGCACCAGGCACATCACTAAGCAAGTTGCCTGACGGAAGCAACGTCAATGTGGATTCTCGGTGGCCCTTTTACGGATTATCCTCGGCACCCCATCGTGTTGCAAATTCGCGGTGCCCTTCCTGGTGTGAGGGCTTCCTTCTCCCTCCTCCTCGTTTCTGGCATCTTTCTTCTACGGATAATCCTCGTCATCACCGCTCAAATATCCTGAGTCTGATCCGCCTCCCTCTCTGACTCCTCATTATCCTCCTCCCTCATTCTCATCCTTCTCCTCCTTCTCCTCCTCCTCCTCCTCCCTCCTCTCTCCTCCTCCTCCTCCTCCTCGTCGACAATGGCATGATCCTGGGCCTCCCCCCTCTTTCCCCTTCCGACCGCCCGCGGCCACTGCCTCACTCCTCCACTCGTCTTCCTTCAAATCGCCCTGCTCCCTCCGCCGTCCTGCCCCTTGCTTCTGACGGGTGATGCTCGGCATCCCCGTCCCCGCACAGATTCTTCCTCCCCTTCCTAATGCAAATCCTCTCCCTCCTCCTTTCTCCTCTTCTCCTCTTCCTCCTCCTCCGCCTCGAAGAAGGGGCATGGCGGCGGAAGCCAGACAGCGCCACAGTTCAAATAGGAATGGGAAATCATTATGTTCTGCCTCGTGGTGCCTTCGGCCCATCCCGCCACCGTGTCTGGGTTGTGGGTTAGAGGCTTCTCGGATGTTCGCTGGGATGATATCGTGGGATGCCTCTCGGGGAGCCTTTTGGAAGCAGGTGTGAAGCCACGGGGGGTTGTGGAGCTTGTCGGACCTCTCTTAGGCATCTTTGGGGCATCTTTGGAGACTCTTGGAACAATTTGGGGGCCTCTTGGGCCTTCTGGGGACCTCCGGGGGCGGGAAGCTCGAAAGGTCGGTTCGCGCTCCCTCTCTTGTGCCCATCTTGGAGCCGTCTTTAGGCTCTCTTCAGGCCCTTTTGGGCCGTCTTAGGAGGCCTCTTGGGCCGATCTTGCGGCCCTCTTGGGCCGTCTTGGGGGCCTCTTGGGGGCCTCTTGGGGGCCTCTTGGGGCGACGTTGGAGGCTTCTTGGGCAGTCTTGGAGTGACGGCCGCTCGAAAACGTGAGAAAGCAACACATATTGGAAACTAACATGAACGTCAATGATTTTGGAGTCTTGGGGCTCTCTTGGAGGTACTCGCGGAGCGACCTTGGGGCCTCTTGGGGGCCTCTTGGGCCGATCATGGGGACATCTTGGGCGTCTTGGAGCGAGCTTGAACCGTCTTGGCGGCTTCTTGCCGTCCCCAGAAGCTTAGGTGGACGCCTCGGGGAAGCAAAAAACGAAAACGGGCCCCTGGATGCCAAAAAAGGCCCCCGCACCCCAAGGGGCAAATTCGGTTACGGGGGGGGGAGTTTGGGAAAAGGGTGCGACCGCAGGCCGCGGGCCCCCGGACGCCGCTTATCTTATTTATACACTCGCGATTAGACACACTGCCATGAGACTCACTCATTCCGCGGCTCTCTCATGCTCAGACTCACTCGTCTTCAGACTCACTCACACGTGGGCCCTCCAATACGCAGACTCACCCATACACAGCCTGTCCCCCCCAAGGGGGTGTCGAGCAAGGGTATTCCACGGCCTCGGTTGCGCTCAGATTGTGGGGACCTCTCAACCAAAATGGATGATTTGGTGCGGAAGCCGTGTCTTGTCTGCCCATGGCAAAACAATCACAAAACAGCTCGCCGCTTGGGCCTCACCGCCAGCCCAAACGGCGAGCATAAATTGCGCGTAGCCCCGCACGTATTCGAAAGCCGACACTTCGTCCTCGTACTATTCGTTTTCCTCCCCGTCCTTCTTCCTATCCAGATCGTCGTCGTCGCCCTCCTCCTCGTCCTCCTCCTACGTAATCATCCTCGTATTCCTCCTGCTCCAGCTTCTCCTCGTCGTGTCTACGACCTCTTCTTCATTTCTCCTCTTCGTCCTCCAGCTCATCCTCCTTCTCCTGGCACCTCGGTTGCGCCATAAGTTGCGCCGTAGGTTGCGAACTCGGCAGCCGAGAAGAAAACCGTTTCCTATCGGTTGCGCCATGGGTGGCGCCCTCGACGGCAGAGAACAAAACCGTCTCCAATCGGTTGCACCATCGGATGCGCCCTCGGCGGCCGAGAAGGAAACCGTCTCCTATCGGTTGCGCTATAAAATTGCGCCCTCGGCGGCCGAGAAGGAAACCGTATGCTATCGGTTGCGCCATAAAATTGCGCCCTCGGCGGCCGAGAACGAAACCGTCCCCTATAGGTTGCGCAATAAAAAGCGCCCTCGGCGGTGGAGAATGAAACCGTTTCCTGTCGGTTGCTCCATAGGTTGCGCCCTCGGCGGTGGAGAATGAAACCGTCTCCCATCGGTTGCGCCATAGGTTGCGAATCAATACCATCGTCTCCTATGGGTTCCGCCATGTGTTGCGCCCTCGGCGGCCGAGAAGAAAACCGTCTCCTATCGGTTGCGCCATAAGTTGCGCACTCAGCAACGGAGAAGAAAACCGTGTTCTATCGGTTGCGCCATGGGTTGCGCCCTCGGCGGCCGAGAAGAACACCGTCTCCTATCGGTTGCGCCATAGGTTGCGCCCTCGGCGGCCGAGAAGAAAACCGCTTCCTATCGGTTGCGCCATGGGTTGCGCCTCGACGGCAGGGAACAAAACCGTCTTCAATCGGTTGCGCCATCGGATGCGCCCTTGGCGGTCGAGGATAAAACCTTCGCCTAACGCTTGCGACCAGTCAGTTCAGTTCAGCCAGTTTACCTCGCGAGAAACGAATTCGGGCTACGCCCGAAAGCATCACTGCGTCGTAGCAATCATGCCATTCGGGCATCACATGGGGGTGTCGGCCAAATGTTCCATGGGCACGTTCGAGCCCAGATTGTTGCGACGTCTTGAGCAGAATGGCAGTGTTTTAAACTGCGGGGACCACGAACAACGTGCACCATTGTAGCGATCCGTTGTCGGCAAGGGCTCTGCGCAGAAAAAACTCTGCAATACAGAACGCAATGCGAACTGGCCAACCCAACGCCGATGGGAACAAATTCTGCTCCTTCAAAGGAAGGCCATGCATCAATAAAGCTCGGGCTAATCAGCATCAGCAAGAACGGTCACGCAACGCTGCAACACGGAACCTGCAATAGGTGTATGAACGGACAGATACCTTGGCCATGCTGAGCAATACAACGCAGGACACGGTCGCCACAGGCGGCTCCAAGCAGAGCGAGATGCAGGGCACCAAGACGGCGCGGCAAGAGGAGATAGAATGGAGGAGGAACACGTGGGTAAACTCCAAAATGCATCAAGGATGCTGCAACGCATATCTAGACGATCACCCTTCCGGTGATGAGGAGGTTGTGAGGGGGGGGGAGAGGGGGAACCAACATCTGACTCAATCGATATCACTATCGATCTCGCTCAAACGGGACACAAAAGGACACCACGGGACACCACGGGACACTTGTCGATCTCACTATAGATGTCACTATCGATCTCACTCAACGGGACACCACGGGACATCACGGGCCACCAAGGGACTCCACGGGACACCGCGGGAAACCTCTCGATCTCACTATCGGTCTCACTATCGACCTCACTATCGATCCCACTCAACAAAGCACCATAGGACACCACGGGACATCACGGGACACCTCGGGACACCACATCGATTTTGCTATCGATCTCTCTCACTCAACGGGACACACCGGGACACCGCGGGATACCTGTCGATCTCATTGTCGATCTCACTCAACGGGACACCACGGGACACCACGGGACACCTCGGGGCACCACATCGATATCAGTATCGATCTCAGTATCGATCTCAGTATCGATCTCACTCAACGGGACACCGCGGGACACCACGGGACACCACGGGACACCTGTCGATCTCACTATCGATCCCATGATCGATCTCACCCAACGGGACAGCACGGAACACCACGGGACACCTCGGGGCACCACATCGATCTCAATATCGATCTCACTATCGATCTCACTCAACGGGACACCACGGGAAGCCACGGGACACTACGGGACACCACGGGACACTGCGGGACACCGCGAGCCAACGCCTGACGGACGGACGGACGGGCGGGCGGGGGAGAATCATTTGTCTCGACTTCGCCCTAGCAACGACTGACACCACGGGACACCACGGGACACCGCGTGCCACCGCGAGCCACCGCCGGACGGACGGACGGGCGGGCGGGGGAGAATCATGCGTCTTGACTTCGCGTTAGCAACGGCGGACACCACGGGACACCACGATACACCACGGGACAACGCGAGCCACCGCCTGACGGACGGACGGTCGGGCGGGGGAGAATCCGCCGACCCCTTGGGGTTCATCGGCGTGTGAGATATCCCCCCTCCCCAAACCCCTCCCCCGGGAGCCGGGTCCGGTCGATTTGGAGGGGGGGGGGTCCGGCCAAATTCCCCGATTCCCCCGATTTCCCCGGGGGGGTCATCCGCTCCCGAAAATCCTGCAAGGACTCCTCCGGTGGCCTCGAAATGGCCCCGGGACGCCAAACGAGCGCTCCAAGACGCCCAAGGTGGCCCAAGGACGGGCCACGAGGCCTCCTAGACGGCACAAGAGGTCCCCACGAGGCCCCAAGAGGCCTCCAAGATGCGTCCCAAGAGGGTCCCTAGACGCACAAATTTGCCCATTCCCTCCGTTAAACGTATTTTTTCCCACAAGTTCGCCTTCTGGATTTTCCGATGCTCCCAAACGGCCCAAGAGGCCCCCAAAACCGCCCCAAGACGGCCGAAGAAGCCTCCAAGAGGGCCCCAAAATAGCCCAACAGGGCCCCAAGACGGGCCAACTGGCGTCCAAGACGGCCCAAATGGGCCCCGAAAGCGGCCCCGAGAGCGTTCCAGGAGCGCTCCGAGTGGCCTCCCAGAAAGCGCAATATGGTCCCAGACGGTCCAACAGCGATCAAAGACACCGAAGACGGCCTCCAGACGGCCCAAGATGCCCCCAAAAGGCCCCAAGAGGCATCCAAGATGTGCCCCACGAGGGCCTCTAGACGCAAAAAGTTGGCCCGTTCCCTTCGTAAAGCGTATATGTTTCACAACTTCGCCGTGTGGGCTTTCCGACGCTCCCAGACGGCCCAAGTGGCCCGCAAGACCGCACCAAGACGGTCCAAGAAGCCTCCAAGAGGGCCCCAAGACAGCCCAAGAGGGCGCCAAGACGGCTCAAGAGGCGCCGAAGACGGCCCAAGAGAGCCCCGAAGACGGCCCCAAGAGCCCTCCAGGAACGCTCCAAGTGGCTTCCCAGAGAGCTCAACATGGCCCCACACGGTCCAAGAGCGATCGAAGACACCCGAGATGGCCTCCAGCTGGCCCAAAACGCCCCCAAGGGGCCTCCCAAATGCGTCCCCAAATAGTCCCTAGACGCAACAAGTTGCTCCTTCCCTCCGTAAAACGTATAGTTTTCACAAGTTCGCCTCGTGGGTCTTCCGACGCTCCAAGGCGGCCCAAGAGGCCCCGAAGACCGCCCCAAAACGGCCCAAGAGGCCCCCAAAACGGCCCCACGACGGCCCAATATGGCCCCAAAACGGCCCAAGAGGTCCCCAAGACGGCCCAAGAAGGCTCCACGAGGGCACCAAGAGGGGCCCAAGAGGGCAACCAAAAATTCAAAAATCTAGCTTTCCGCCCCCACGAGCCCCAGGGGGCCCAAGAGTGCCCCAAGAGGCCGCCATAGGCCCCCAAGAGGCCGCCAAGACGCCCCAAGGAGCCCCCAAGAGCCCCCCAGGAGGCCTCCAAAAGCCCCCCAGACGCTTCCGCATTGCGAGCCGCCAAGCCAACTGCAATCCACTCCGCGCGTGCAGCCTAACTCTTCCTCGCGACGTGCTCAGAATCTTGCTCGGCGCTAATGTGCTGCTGCTACGCGAACTGTTTCGTGCGCGCTGCGAACGTCAACGGCCTCTTCACCCGTTTCGTCTCATCTGCCACATCTTTCGCGGTGATGCTTCGCTGATCACAGCTTCCGCACGCTACTCTTGCTCCTTTCGTCTTCCGGTGCTCCTCCACTTGGTTGAGGGTCGAAAGGCCGACCTCCCAGAAGGACACCGCGCACCCGGGTGCACAGCACGCAAGTCGCTCGCAAAACACGCCCCAGACCACCGGCATCACGCAAACATTTGGGCCCCCTACGTATCTGCCACCACCCGCGCGCGACACCGCACCCTCACACAAGACGCCGTTGGCCAGAAACTCCTGGCCTCGCAACAGTCACAGAAGGGGTCGGCGGATGTGGCGCAAGCCTGTAGAATCATTTGTCTTGACTTCGTCCTAGCAACGCCGGGTTCCTTCCTCTCGCGCGCCCACGCAACCTCGCCTCGCCCGCACGCACGACACGAGCGAAACGAAACGATTTCCCAGTTGGGGGTCTGCGTTCCACTGCGATCTCACCCCCCAACCTCTTACACCCCCCCATCCTAGTTCCCCTCATCGCACTGTTCTACAAGCCTTCCTCTTCACTACAAGGATTGCCCCATTGAAATGAAGAACCAGCACCCGATGAACCGACCATTAATGCGAGAGCCCCGTGATGAGAAGACCGGCCTTACATCACCCGATCGATCATAAGGAATTAAACAAAGGTATGACCACACACTTCAATCTAGTGTGCAGCGAGACCCCTATGCTGAACACTACACCCACCCTTTCGTGTATTGGTGGGCAAATGTAGGCGTATGGTTTTGATCGTCGAGGAGGTCCCGAGCGAAAGGCCAACTTTGAAAAAAATGAGCCGAGAAGCATCCGAACACCTGCTACATTTGTTCAAGCCCCTTGGTCTGCACCTGAACGTTAGCAAGCTCCTGGCCACAGACCCATTCTGTAAAGGAGCCGTCCTCCATCCCCGTATCTGTTGCAAGCCATCGAAGCGAGTGCGCGCGGCACTCAAGACGAGGAGCCCATCCGGAACAGGAGCCGCCCTCCATCCTCGAAACTGCTGCAAGACGTCAGCACAAAGGTGCGCCTCATTACGGCGAGGGCTCCATTCCGAGAACCAGCTCGCCCGTCCTTCTTACTGTTGCATTACTCTGCAATGAATGTGCGTGACGCCAAGGCGATGGCTGCATGTTGAAAGCTTGAGGCAGCGCGAAAAGGGGGGTCCAGGAAAAACGGGTCCAGGAGAAGGGCGGTCCAGGAAAACGGAGCTGGTTCGCTTCAACGAGCGCATTCGCATGATGTGGCTCACAAATAACTGCACCACGAACTTGTATCGCCCAGGTACTGAAGCTTCGTTTGAGTGCGAAATGCCAAATCCCGCCAATTCCTTGCGAACGGATTTCCGACTCCGCCATCGGAATCGGAAATCGCTCTTAGGCACCCCACGTCCCCTGCTCGCAGGCTCAGTCGGCGATCAGGTCAGGTCTGCACGTGACGCCGTAATCGGCGAGCGCAGCAGAGCCATGCACCCACCAGCTGCAATACATTGCAACACAACTGGGGTCCTGCAATAGACTTGGGGCGTGCACGCTGTCCAGGGTGCAAATGTATTGCTCGATGTTTGCGCGCAATGCAACGCAATACCATTCGCTGGCGCAATAGATTCGCGATACAACTGGCAGCCTGCAATGCATTTGCAATAAGCCGTCCGCGGCGCGTTGCCACTCAAACGCGCGTTCTGTGCCAGACAAAGGACTCCACGCCCAAAGCGTCAACTCTTGATGCGACGACTGACGCCGATGGGCCGCCGAGGTCTTCAAACGCATTTCGAGACGCCTGTCTGCTGTATGCCCCAATTCTTTACATATCCCGAGGCCGGTTGCAAGCACACGTGGCAACGAACGGCGGAAGGGCTCAGTCATGTTCGCACGGGCCCGTCATATATTTCAGTGCCACAGGACTGTTTTCCACCACCACCTTGCTCCTGAGCCTCCTCTTGGGCTGCCCAGAAAAACGGGACCATCTATCCTCGTTGCAGACGCTTCAAAAATAATGTTGCGAGATCTCTATCTTGAACCCCCCATCCATCCTCATAGGTACTGTAAACCGACATGTGACATGAGCGCGGCGCTTCGGCGATAGCCCCATGCTGGAAATGCGCATTTGAAAAGGAGTGCCCGTCTCTGTGTAACTGTTGCAAACTTCGCGCCGTCAGGGGCGAAATCAGTGAGGAATTCCCACGTGCAACGCCTGGGGGTGCGGCATGACAAAGTTATCTACAACACAATGAAGGGGGGACGATAGGGGGTAACCAGCCAAACTACGCTGCAAAGTCTGAAGTGCATAAAGCAACTAGCACTTGACATATTCAGATCTACTTCACACTCACACGCAGAGCTTCACCGTAGAGAGTGCAAGCCGACACGAGTATACGAGTAAGGTGTCCACACACCGCTGGAAACCAACAGCTGGGCGAAAGGATAGACAGGATCCACCCGAGCCTTACTGCCGAGCCACAATCCGCCCCCATGAAGCGTTACGCAGCTTAACAACAGCCGCCCGCGCCAGGCCACTTGGCGAATCTGAAATCCGCCGCCCGCACACTGACCAGTATTAATGGTGCACCTCCACAAGTGCAACATCGAGCGAATGTTAAATATTACATTGACATACGAATTTGCGAATTCACCATACAGAACGACACCACCATTGAAGTGTGCCTTAAGTCAATCAGTCATTCAGCAGAGCATCCCAAACGCATAAAGTCAGCATCGGGATCACCTGCAAGCTGCTGAACATTAGAAAACTGCTGTCGTAGCAGCTGTGGCTACTGGGCGCTGATTCTAGGCTGTTGCGCAATGCAGGCCAAACAGATGTTGGCAAACTGTTTGCTACTCAAGCTGCAAGAGAAAACATATTAAGCGCACGTCAGATCAGGCATCCGATAATTCAGGCCACAGCTTCGCCGCGCTTGGCAGCACCCCGTCCACTGCGCTGCGCGCTGCCCGTTGACAAGTGCATCGACGCCTCATAGATGCACCAGCACCTGTCCCCCTTGCGGCCTCTGCGCGTCTTGCATTGCGTGCCTCGGCTGCTCATGTGCTGAACCTCGACGTTGCTGTTCCGCGGGAGCGCTGAAGTCTCACATAGATCCATGTACTTCCTGGGTGGGATTTACCTACTCCTATTCTCAGGGGACTGTTTTTTTTTTGTCAGGGTCAGCCACGCAGAGAAAGGTATTCTCCACCCAGAACTTGACCTCCTGACCCTACAACCTCGTCGTGCTTGTCGAGTACGCCCGCACCATCAATGCCACAAGTCTGGCTGCCATCTGCCGTCGAACGACATCGCGGGCATGCTCGGGCTACGACATTTGAGTGCGGTTGCTGAGCAGTGTGGTGTGAGCGCGGGTGGCAAGCACAAGCTGTTGGCGCAAGCGCGCTGCGCGCCCCAACATCTTAGATCACATTCGGCCTTGGACAAAATGAAATGGCTGCGGACAAGCATGATGCACCCTCATCGCGATGTAGGGGGCCCGGCACTGGCTGCGGCTAGCAAAGAAAAGGGGGAGAAACGGGCCCCCAAGGCGGGAGGCGGCTCGAAAAACTTGTCACCGTTGACCCTGGAAGGGGTCCAGGGACGGATTCCTCCTCGTCCTCCGCCTCCTCCAGTCAGAATTGCCATTCGGGGGGGGGGACGCGTCTCTCTTCCAGGCCACAAGATCACGGCGAGGCAGCAGACATGGAACTTGACCAAATCCCCCGGGGAGCAGTCGGCACCGGGTGGCCCCTTGCCCGTTCGAGCCCAGGTGGGCGGGATCTCTCAAGCAGAGCTGCATGATTGGTGATGGGGTGTGGAGCAAGATTACGGTGAAGTAGCACACATGGCACTTGAGCATCACAAGATGGTATCTCCCCAAGGCCGCAAGATCACGGCGACGGAGCACGCATGGCACTTGAGCATCCCAAGGTGGTGTCGACCAACGGTGCTTCACGGACCCGTTCGTGCCGAACTTGTCGGGACCTCGCAAGAGGAATGGCAGTTTCTGTGTTCGCGTGGTGGGGGGGTGGGGGGGGCAGACGTATGTCTTCTCAGAACCGCACAACCATCGCGATGTAGCAGGCATGGCACTTGGGCATCCCAACAGCGTGTCGACACACGGTGTTCCACGGACCCGTTCGCGACCAGATTGCGATGACCGCTCAGGCAAACTGCCCTCATTGGTGCAGTAGATGTGTCTTTCTTTTTTCAGGGCTGCATGACCATCGCGATGTAGCAGGCATGGCACATGGGCATCCATTGGCGTGTTCGCGCCAAGATTGCGAGGATTATTCAGGCAGACTGGCCAATCTGGAAGTAGCCGTATGCCTGTTCAGGGCCACATGATCATCGCGATGCTGCGGGCATGGTACTGGGGCATCTCAAGGGGGCCTCGACTTAGAGGTAGGAGGAGGCGGAGCCATGGGTTGCGACTTTGTGGGCACCATGAGGGAGGCAGCTCCCGCGCGCGCGACGCGCGCAGCGCGCGAGGGGGCCGCTGCGGGCGCACGAGGCGTCCGCCACCTCCTGGCGCGCGCGCGCTGCCGCCGCGCGCTGCGCGTGCCGCCACCGCCTCCGCCGGGCGCGGGCGCCGCCGCAGCCCGTGGTCCGAGACGAGACTTCACGGGCGGGCGGAATGTTTTCGGCATGCTCATCGCTGCTGGCCTTGCGCTATCTTGCGCCAGTGGCGGCACGTGTCAATCAAGCGAACGCTTACTCTGGAGGGGCTTCTTGCATCAGGGGGGATGACTAACCTTCTCACCGAGCCTGCCCAATCCCGCCCCCCTCCGTCCTCCTCCCCCTCCTCATCCTCATCTTCTCCCAAACCCCCTTCCACCCATTCCGACAGCACGTGCCCAACCCTCCCAGCGGATCCAAGGGAGGGCGATTCTTGCCCCATCCCCCATCCGGAGTACGTTTCAATCAAACACGCGTTTAAATGGGCCCCCATGCTGCCCCCGTTTCGGGCCACGGCCGCCTGCCCAGGTCACCCCTCGGAGGTGGGCGCACGGCTAAACAGACTGGCGAGAATCCACCAGGCGAGGCGGCGTGTTCGGACTCCTCTGGGAACATGTGGAATGGCAGGGGCAGGGGAATCCGGGGAGTCCAGACCCACGGGGGCGGCGGAGAGGTCGGGTCCAGCCCTTCTGGTGGCCATGGAAGTCGTCGAGAGGGGAAAGTAAGGCAGGGGCAGCAGGACGAACGACTGTTCGGATAACCTGGTGCGTGGGGTCAAGCACCAAATGCTGCGATGCTGCTGCTGGAACTGCCCTGCGCCCTCCCTGGTACCGTCACTGCCGCCGTGCTTTGGCGGTGCTGTTGCTGCTGGTTCCGCTTCCGTGCATTTCCACAGCACGGGGCCTGGCAGCGGACGCAATCAACCCACCCACCCCGCCACTCCACGAGCGCGACTTGTTCCCCGAAGCTTGCCGAAGAGGTGCCCCACGCCCCGCTCAATGCATGATCTCATTTCTTCATTTCGTCCAGGGTTGGCGGGTGGGCGCAGCCCGGGCCAAGGCTTGAAGCCACAGTGGCCACGGACCCCGCCCCCCGAAGGGGCTGCTTCCTCCTCCTGGGCCCTCTTCAAGGAACGCCCCGAACCCTGGATGATCTACCTCCTCCCCCTCGACCCCCCAAACTTCCTCCTCCTCCCTCCTCTTCCTCATACCCCTCCTCGTCATCCTGCACCTCGACACCCCTGCAACACGACGACGACGTTGACGACGACGAGGACGACGACGACGACGACGACGACGACGACGACGACGACGACGACGGCGGCGACGACGGCGGCGGCGGCGGCGGCGATCCCCCCCGCTGGATCCTCCTGGGCGGTGCTCTCCGTCAGCAGGTCGGCCGAGCAGCGGGAGCAGGTCCTCGGCGGCTCCCTGGAGCCTGGCGGCCGCCAGCCCCCCCCCCCCCCCAACCCTGGCCTCTGCAGCGGCGGAGCAGGGGAGGCAGGGGGGGGAGCAGGGAGGACGGAGGACGGAGGAGGGGGGGAGGGCCAGGTGCGCAAGCATCTTATCTGACGTCCTATCCCTCCCTCCCATCCCTTACCACGGCGTAGACATCCTCTCTATTCGCGCGATCGGATGTCGGGCAAGGCAATGATCCCGAGAGGGTACGGGATGTATGGTAGTGCACGGCGTACCACGGCGTAGAAGAGCACGGCAGAACGTCGTCGGGTCGAGAACACGACTCCTATTCGACAACTGGTTCTGAGGGAAACCAGCCATGACACAGGGTAGAAATCGAAATGGATGGTGTGGAATCACTGAAAGAAGCCTAAAAAAACAGGCCACGCTGGTCGAGAGCACGATTCGTTTGAACACCATATTCTGAAGGAAACCAGACATGACGCAAGACAAAACATGACACGGGACGCTTCGGAAAGAGCGGAAGCGTGAACTGAGAGCCAATGCTGTAACGGTAGCACGGTTTGGAAGATCCGCAGCAAAGAAATGGGGTCAACGCTGCAGCGTGAATATGCTTTGGAAGGGCCGGAAACAAGAACATGGAGCCAACGCTGTAGCGGCAGCGCCACTCTGGAAACACCGAAGACGTTCGGAGTGATCATACATATAAATGTAGAATCGATCATTGGTTGGGGATCCGATCCGATGTGTAAGAAAACAACTCGCGGAGAGGGGCAGGCTACGACCTCAGGGTCTTCGTGGGGGGGAGCGGAGAATAGTGCTCAGAATGTGCAATTGTCATTAAGGGAGGGTGGGGGGACGAGGCAGGAGGCCTCTTCCTCCCCCTCCACCTCCCCCTGCACTGTCCAATCAGCAGCATCATCAGCAGAATCATCAATATCAGCAGCAGCAGCCACAACATCATCATGAACATCACCATCTCCAAGGCAAACGTGATCGTTAGCATCGTCAGCATGAACATCACCATCACGATCATCAGCTTCATCATCATAATCATCATCGTCATCATCATCACCAGCATCATCATCATCATCAGCATCATCAGCATCATCATCGTGTTCACCCAAAGTCATCATCATCATCATCATCATCATCATCATCATCATCATCATCATCATCATCATCATCACCATCATCATCATCATCATCATCAACATAATCATCATCATCATCATCATCATCATCATCATCATCATCATCATCCTGCTCCATCTGCAAGTGTGCTATTCCCCCTCATCACCATCTGCCGCGCTACCATCCCTCGGCAAGCCCCTTCCAGCCTTTCATTTCGCCCCTGCTACTGGTCCTACAGGTGACCGTGGCCGTGCCGTTGCTCCTGCTGAACCAAACGCTCCTCCAGCTTCTCCTGTTCTTGTTGCCCGCTCCACCTCCGCCACATCCTGTGTCCCCTCCTCCTCCTCCTCCTCCTCCTCCTCCTCCTCCCCCTCCTCTGCATAAAAATCAGTAGCTGCATGATCATCAGCACCGCCAGCAGCATCGCCATCGTTACCATTATCATCGTGGTAATACTGAGCATCGTCATGATCACACACATCATCATCAGCATCGTCATCAACATCGCCAGCATCATCGTCATCGCTATCATTGCAAAAAATATTCGCATCGTCATCACCATCCTCATCATAGTCATCAGCGCGCTCGTCATCAGCAGCACCAGTATCACCACCATCATGATCAACATCAATAGCAGCATCACCATCATTTGCATCAGCACCAGCATCATCAACATACTCCATCTCAGCATTACCATCCTCAGCATCGTCCCCCGTGCCCTCATCCCCACCATCATCAGTCTCGTCAACAGCATTATCATCAGCGTCATCAACGTCATGCTCATCACAGCCGCCACCACCACCACCACCACCACCATCATCATCATCAGCATCAGCATGATCATCAACATCATCATCGTCATTATCATCATAATCAGCACCATCGACACCGTCATCATGCCCACCAGCAAAACCCGCATTATCATCATCAGCAGCATATTCCTAGTCACCATCATCGTCGGCGCCAGCACCATCATCAGCATCATCATCATCATCACCGCCATCATCATCAACACTGACGCCAACATTATCATAATCAGCAGCAGCATCGTCTCATCGGCACCGCCATCGTCATTTGCATCAGCATCATCACCAGTATCATCACCATCAGCATCATAATCACCAGCATCATTATCATCACGATCATCATCACCAGTAGCATCTCGTCATCATCAACATCATCATCATCATCACTATCCTCTTCACCATCGTCATCCGCACCATTACCATCAACATCATCATCATCGCCGTCACAATCATCATCATCATCATCATCATCATCATCACCGCCACCACCATGATCATCACCATCATCAGCAGAAGCATCACCAACATGATCACCATCATCATCTCCATCATCGCCAACCGCAGCATTCTCACCACTACCACCACGCATCTTCACCAACATTTTTTCCAGCGCAATTTTGGGAGGAGAAGGAGTAACGACATCTTCACCAACATTACCATTGCCACTCGCAGCTATTACACATTACTATCACCGCCATCGTAGTGGCCATACTCGATCCCGTCATCGTGATCATCGTCGTCAACGCGAGCAGTGT